TTGCCAAGGTCAGAGACTCCTGCTTTAACTCAAGGCTTCCTGGCATCCTTCGTCCACATTGACTGATAGCACCAAATCTCCCGCTGATGCAGAGATTAACATTTTTAGAATAATTTGGAAATAGAAGCACAATCCCTAAACTCGGCTGCTCTCACCCTTAGCCCTGCAGGTATGTCTCTCCCATACGACAAAACTGTGTGAGAGCCGAGAAGAAGCTGAACGAAACAGAAGATACGCTTCAAACATCACACCTATCATTTTTTTCTTTTTTTAAACCATGGTTTCCTGAACAGGTCCCTACTAACCTGATTCACAAGTTTTTTACTAAGTTGTAAAACAGCTATGGGCAAATCAGTGACTTCCTCCAGGCCCCAAATCTTACAGTGTTTGCAAAGTGACCAATTTTGCACAGTGTGATTTTTGGCATTTTGTGTGTTGTGTGCTTAAATTTATATCTATATATATATATAAAACTCAGACTAACACGAGCACAACCAAGCCCCCACCTAAACAGAACACACCCCCATCCAATCAGAGCACAGCCAACCCCCCATCCAATCAGAGCACAGCCAACCCCCCCATCCAATCAGAACACACCTCCACCCAATCAGAGCACAGCCAAGCTCCCACCCAATCAGTTCACACCCCCACTAGCAGTTAAAGGGAAGAAATAGCTGCGATCTCACATTGCTCCTAGAAGCACGAAGCCGAAAACACCAGCCTGAAGATGACGAATGAGACTTCGTGGAAACGTCGCCAAGACACTTCCAATTTTACGTGGGAGAAAACCTGAATAACCAAAGACCTACACACACACACACACACACACATTTTAAAGGCTTGGAATGGTTGTGAATTTTCTTCCAAGGCAACCACCATTAAAACCTCTCCTGTCTGGGACCACTTTGGAGGGGTTTTAAGGGGAAGGGGCGTTGTCTTACCTGAACGCCCTTTCTGGGGACCGAAGAGACAGCGGTCAGGACAGGGTTAACTGCCCTGTCCTGACCGCTGTCTCCTTCGCTTCCCTAGAATGAGTGGTAATGGTTTCCTTTTCAAAACCTCTCCATTCTTCTTTGCATCCTTAAAACACACCCCGTCCCAAGCTTCACATTTTCAGTCACATCTTTTGTGGTGATGCCGCTTTCTTGAACCCTCCAGAAAGTTGAAATGTTGTGCTGCAGGTTCAAAAGATCCCCACGAACCATGGTTCATATTAGTAAACTACAATAGTTAGGTTGATAAGCTGATGAATTAAAATCAAGCCAAATATATGAGAGTTTAGGACAATATACAAGGTGGTTTGAATCCATTATTATGAGGATGTAGGCAGACAAGTAAAGGTAATCCTTGACTTATGACCACAATGGAGCCCAACATTTCTGTTCTTAGGTGAGACATTTGTTAAGTGAGTTCTGCCCCCATTTTATGACCTTCCTTGCAAAATTCATGTAACAAAATCTCCCTTAGAAACAGAAAGGGGAGGAGGGAGAGGAAGAGAGAGAGAAAGAAAAGAAAGGAAGGGAGGGATGCTTCTACCAAGTAAGCAACCTACAAGATCCCTCCCTGCAAACAAGTCCATTTGTCTGAAATGGTATAGGCGGAGTTTCCTGCCTAAGCAGAGGGTTGGACTAGAAGACCTCCAAGGTCCCTTCCAACTCTGTCATTCTATTCTATTCAACAGAACACATCTTACAGCAGAACAAATGCCAGGATAAAATTCATTAGCTCTCTAATTAGAAACCTAGAATTATTTTAGGGACCGAGATGAGGATGCATGTGAACTTCTAGCAAAAAAAAACACCCCCTCCCACTTACACTAGTTCTATTTTTAAGTAAAACAGCGCATGGTTCGCTTACTTTTGATGCTAAACCGTTTCATTTTTAAGTGCCTCTAATTCTTTTCCCTCCTCCAGCTTTGATCTGTAGCCTGAACCTTTCCAATTTAACAACCACTTTTTACAACTAAGTTAGCGGATTCTCTTAACGGATCTGATCTCACCGGGCTTGCCTGAAAAAGCAATTAACTTGCAAAGAATATTTTGTGTGTTTGAGGCTCCTTTTGAGGTAGATTTACGGCCATAGTTTCAGTGTTACAAGGAATTATTTATGCCAACAGAGGCTAACATTTCTATAAAGCAGCTCAGAGAAGGAATCAGTCTATAGTGAAAGCAAGCAGACCAGCTGTAAAAAGTCAATTTCCTTTAGTCCTGGAAACTAATGTTACAGAAGCATCTGACAGGCACGCATCCTATGTGGGACGTATCCTATGTGGGAAGGAAAAACTATATTCCCCATCCCGTTCTCAGTTACAAGTAGTCCTCGATTTACAACTGTTCATTTAGTGACCGTTCGAAGTTACGGCACTGAAAAAAGTGACAACTGTTCTTCATCAAACTTACAACAGTCGCTGCATCACGTGATAAAAATTCAGATGCTTGGCAACTGGCTCATATTTATGACTGAGGCAGCATCCCCAACGGTCTCACGATCAAAATTTGGCCACTTGGCAATTGACTCACACTTATGACGGTTGAAGTGTCCTCTGGGGAGGGGGGGATGTCACGCGATCCCCTTTTGCGACCTCCTGACAAGCAAAATCAATGGGGAAGCCAGATTCACTTAACCACCGTGTGACTATTATTTTATTATTATTATTATTTATTGAATTTGTATACCGCCCTACTCCCGAAGGACTCAGGGCGGTGAACAGCCAGATAAAATACATATAATACAAATGTTAAAAAAAGCATTAAAATACAATTAAATAATTTGGCCTGGAAAACGAAATTTAAAACACCCCAAATTCTTAAGACTAACTTGGCAACTTCAGCGATCCGCTTAACAACCGTGGCAGGAAAGGTCGTAAAATGGGGGGCAAAATTCGCTTAGCGGATGTCTCGCTTAGCAACAGGAATTTTGGTTATAAGTCGAGGACGATCTGTATATTACCTTGGTTATATTACCAAATATACTACTTGGTATATTAATATCTCGGTGTATTACCAATTATTACCATTTATTGTGTCAGAGCTGTATCATTTGCATTAAAGGAAAAAGCAACTTCATCTCTACATGTCATGCAGCAAAAATTCATGCAAGAGAGAGATTCACCACCTTTGTCGGAATCTGGTGGCATCTGCTGCAACACTTCACAAATCGGAAGAGAGAGAAACAGGGGAGTGCCAACTCAGGCCTGAGATGCCACAGAGAATGTGCAACCCCTCCCTGGCTTCATTTCCATCCCCACCACCCCAAGGGCTGATTCCCAGGCGCAGGGGGGGCAGGAAAGACAAGCCGGGACTGTAAAGGAATCACTCTTGGTTTAAGAGGCAGTGGCCATGGCAACCAAGCGGGGAAGAAACACACCAATGACACAAGTGACTTTAAAAAGTCACCCCTTTCAGCAGGCGGAGGGAGGAATGTGGACAGGGCAAGAAAAGAAGGCAAAAGTGAAGGTAAGTAATGCAACAGAAAGATCAGGCAGGCTGGGAGGGGAGGAGAGAGAGAGAGAAGAAAGAGAAAGAAAGAAGAAAGAAGAAAGAAAGAAAGAAAGAAAGAAGGAGGAAGGAAGGAAGGAAGGAAGGAAGAAGGAAGGAAGGAAGGAAGGAAGGAAGGAAGGAAGAAGGAAGGAAGGAAAGAAAGAAAGAAAGAAAGAAAGAAGGAAGGAAGGAAAGAAGGAAGGAAGGAAGACAGGCTGCTGACAAACTAAAAGAGAAGTGGGATTTATTTGCTCAAAATAGGGGTGACTCAAAAACAGGGAGCAATAATACAGTGGGAGCATTCAAGTGAAACCTGCAGAGGTAGGAGACGAAATAATTCAGAAGTGCTCAAACAAAGGAGGACAAGGGTGGGGAAGAGGAAGAGGGGGAGAAAGAGAAAGAGAGAAAGAGAGAGAGGGAGGGAGGGAGGTGTTAAGGATATAGTTGTGAGATAACCATGAACGGTTATGAAGCAGAGCGTAGATGCTTCTACTGGTACCAAACAAGCAACCCACAAGCTCTCTTTGCAAACAAGATCTCTTATTTTCACACTCACAGCATCCCTGTGGTCCAGCCATCAAAATTTAGAAGTTTGGCAACTGGTTTATATTTATGAGAGTTGTCCAGGGTCCATGTGATCATTTTGTAACTTTCTGACAAGCAAAGTCAAGGGAGGAACCAGGTTCGTTTAACAACTGCATGACTAACTTAACAACTGCAGTGATTCATTCAACAGCCGTGGCAAGAAAGGTCGTAAAATGGGGCAACAGTCTCCCTTAGCAACAGGGGGGAGGGGGGGAGGGAGAGGAAGAGAGAGCAAAAGAGAGAAAGAGAGGGAGGGATGCTTCTACAGAGCAGCAGCCCACAAGCCTTCTTTGCAAACCAATCCCCCTCTGCAAACCAGACCCCTCCCTGCAAACAAGATCCCTCTCTGCAAACCAGACCCCTCCCTGCCAAACAAGATCCCTCTGTGCAAACAAGATCCCTCCCTGCCAACAAGATCCCTCCCTGCCAGCAAGATCCCTCTGTGCAAACAAGACCCCTCCGTGCAAACAAGATCCCTCCCCCCTGCCAACAAGATCCCTCCCTGCCAACAAGATCCCTCCCTGCCAACAAGATCCCTCTCTGCAAACCAGACCCCCCTCCCTGCAAACAAGATCCCTCCCTGCCAACAAGATCCCTCTGTGCAAACAAGACCCCTCCTTGCAAACAAGATCCCTCCCTGTAAACAAGATCCTTCCCTGCCAACAAGATCCCTCTGTGCAAACAAGACCCCTCCGTGCAAACAAGATCCCTTCCCTGCCAACAAGATCCCTCTCTGCAAACAAGATTCCTCCCTGCCAACAAGACCCCTCTGGGCAAACAAGATCCCTCCCTGTAAACAAGATCCTTCCCTGCCAACAAGATCCCTCCCTGCAAAAAAGATTCCTCCCTGCAAAAAAGATCCCTCTCTGCAAACAAGATTCCTCCCTCCCTGCAAACAAGACCCGTCTCTGCAAGAGAAGATCCCTCTCTGCAAACCTTTGTGCCCGCACGTGCAGAGTCGGCGGACCCGCAGCCCAGGATGGAGGCGCCCGGGTCGGCCTCCCTATCTACCGTAGCAAAGCCCCGGAGGGCTGGGGCAAAGCGTCGGGGAGAAAGGCGGCTTGGGCACCGAGGCAGAATCATCACCCCCAACCCCAAATCCGCCCTCCAGGTGCGCTCATTGTTCGCTGCGGCAGGTAAGCGAGTGGGGGGGGTGGTGGTGTTAGGAGGGAGGGAGGTCAGCGGCCGGCCAGAGGGGATCCCGCTCTTCCCCCGGGCTGCCCTGCAAAGCCCATCATCCCCAGCAGGCCGAGGAGGGGGAGGAAAGACCCAACAGGAGGGAGCCCGCCAAATCACACGGGGGTGGGGGAGGGGAGGGGAAGGCAGGGCGAAGAGACCCCCCCCGCCCCGCGCGCGGAGACACACCTCCCTCCCCCCCCCCCGAAGCGCCCCCCCCACCAGCCCTGGAGGAGGAGGAGGAGGAGGGGTCCCTCCCGAGGCCCTCCGGCCCCCCGCGTGCACGACCCCCCCCCGCTTCCCCCAGGAGGGGCGCCCCAACTGCCCCCCCTCCCCGCGTGGGAGGAGGAGGAGGAGGGGGCGGGGCCTGGGAGGGAGGGAGGAGGGAGGGGGCGCTCCCTCCTCAGCAGGGGGGCGGGCCGGGCTTGTGCAGGCCAACGGCGGCCTAGCGTGCTTTGCCCGCCCGCCCTCCTCTCTCCTCTCCTCGCCGGCCCGCCCGCCCGCTTTTCCCGCCGCTTCAGTTACCTGGCTCGGCGCTGCCGGGTCGCTCTTGGCCTCAGCCCGCCCGCCCGTCCGCTCCGCCTCCGCCTCCTGCTTCGCCCGTGTCGGGGAACAATGACGTCCCCCGCTCCGCCCGGCCTCCTGCATCCGGGGCCTCCGCGGCCGGCGCGCCTCTGGGTCACACGGGGATCACAGGCGGCGCTTGCACGCCGTCGGGCGGCAGGGGGCGCTGCGGGGGCCGGGCGCGATCTGGCGCGCGCAGGCGCCGGGGAGGGGCCGCCGAGGGGCGTGGCCCAGCTGGAGCTTTGGGAGGGCGGGAGGGGAAGGGAGAGGGAGAGAGAGAGAGAGATAGAAAGAAAAAGAGGGGGAAAGAGAGAGAGAGGGAGGGAGAGAAAGATGGAAAGAGAGAGGGAGAGAAAGATGGAAAGAGAAGGGGAGAGAGAGGGAGAGAAAGATGGAAAGAGAGGGAGAGAAAGATAGAAAGAGAGAGGGAGAGAAAGAGAGAGAGAGGGAGAGAAAGATGGAGAGGGGAGAGAAAGAGAGAGAGAGGGAGAGAAAGATGGAGAGAAGGGGAGAGAAAGAGAAGGAAAGAGAGAGAGAGAGAAGGGGAGAGAAAGATAGAAAGAGAGAGATAGAGAGGGAGAGAAAGATGGAAAGAGAGAAAGAGAAAGAGAGGGAGAGAAAGATGGAAAGAGGGGAAAGAGAGAGAGAAAGAGAAAGAGAGAAAGAGAGGGAGAGAAAGATGGAAAGAGAAGGAGAGAGAAAGGGAGAGAAAGATAGAAAGAGGGGGGGGAAAGAAAGAGGGAGACACAGAAAGATAGAAAGGGAGAGAAAGATAGAAAGAGGGAGAGAAAGTTAGAAAGAGGAAGAGAAAGAGAGAGAGGCAGAAAAAGGGAGAGAGGAAGAGAGGGAGAGAAAGAGAAAGGGAGAGAAAGAAAGGGAAAGTTAGAAAGGGTCTCTTTGAGAGAGAGGGGAAAAAAGAGGGAGAGAGAGAGAGAAAGAGAGGAAGTGAAAGGGAGAGAAAGAAAGGGAGAGAGAAAGAGGAAGAAAGATAGGGAGAGAAAGTGCAAAAGAGAGAAGACAAAAAGAAAAAGAAAGAGGGAGGGAAAGAAAGAAAGAAAGAGGGAGAGAAAGAGAAAAGATAGAGGGAGAGAAAGAGAAAGAAAGAAAGAGAGAGGGAGAGAGAGTGAAAGAGAGAGAGAAAGATATAGAGAAAAATCCTGTTCTAATGAGCACTGCCAACTCATAGGAGCTTATCAAAATGGTGTAGACACCCCACGTTTCCTACTTATCTCAAAAAAATTGACTTCCTGCTGAATTAGCACTATAGATCATCCCCAGTTCTATGTCTCCTGCACAAATATCTCTGCTCTTGGGAAGAAAAAAAAAACATGATAAAAGATGTGTGAATGTAGAACAGTGCTGGTTAATTTCACAAAAATTCAGAGTTTCCAAGCGCCTTTAATAGCAGGCGCTCATTTTTGAAATCTGCTGGGTTTTGACAGGAGATTGAAAAATCCTCTAGCAAGTTCGTAGGAACTTCAATGAATGAAGAGATCAAAAGTGAACAGGAGCGTCTATTGTAAATTTTTGTTACAGTTCGTGAAAAAACACAAGGCTTCGCTATAGTATAATGTTCAATTACCAGGAAGATGTGATTTAATTAATCGCCTCTCTGTTTGCTGAGTTTCTGAACTGCATATTCCCCTGGGAAACGGATGGCCCCATTAGCTTGACACAGATGCCTCCTGCGTAAAATATGGCTTTTTTAAAAAAAAAAAAAAAGACGTCCTATTGAATACTCATACAAATTAAAAAGCATATTTTCTACCAGATCCAAAAAAAGAATATCACGGATGAAATTCAGCAAAAACCAGGCTTGCTGAGCTGTAATGGGATTAATGCTGCATAGTTTTATCACGTTAAGGTACCATCCACATTTAAATAAAATAATTGATCTGAATGCTATCTTAGCAGTGGGAATGCATTTATTATTTCGGGGAAATGCATATGATAAAGTTAGCTGTTCTCATTCGTATTCATTTCTCATTTTTGACACGAGCGGGCTTTTAAAAACGTTCTCCAGATATATGCTTTGTTCCCATGCGTCCTTCACTTGCTGGAAAAGGCTTTTGAATTAGTTGGTGGTGTATTTACCTGACCTAATTTTATTGGATTCCTTGGCACAGGTAGTCCTTGACTTATGATCACGATTGAACCCAAAATTTCTCTTGCTAAGTGGGGCATGAAGTGGATTTTGCCCCATTTTATGGCCTTTCTTGCCAATGTTGTTAAGTGAATCACTGCAGTTGTTAAAAATTAGTGATATGGTTGGTAAATGAATCTGGTTTCCCCATTGACTTTGCTTGTCAGAAAGTCGCAAAAGGGAATCACACGTTTATGGGACACTGCAATTGTCATAAATATGAGCCAGTTGCCATGTGTCTCGATTTTGCACACGTTGACCATGGGGTGGCTGCAATAGTCCTAAGTGTGAAAATGGTTATAAGTCAGTTTTTTAAAGTGCTGTTGTAACTTCAAATGGTCACTATACAAACTGTTGTAAATCAAGGACTACCTAATATTCTCCAAAAGAAGAGAATCAATCAATCAATCAGAATACAGCTGGAAGGGACCATGGAGGTCTTCTAATCCAGCCCCCTGCCCAACCAGGAGACCCTATCCCATTTCAGACAAGGGACTGTCCCCCCCATTGATGAAGCTAACTGTGTGACCATTTGTGTCATCATAAATTTGATAACCCTAATTATGATCAAGTCAATAATAATAATAATTTGATACCTAGGATGCTGGCAGCAACCCGTATCAACCATTAGCACCAGTCAATGATACTGATACATTTTTAAATGTTCAGTTGACTTGGGCTTCATGTTTAATGAATAAAGAGAGTAATAAATATATGTTTAATGAATAAAAGATTAATAATAATAATTTGATACCTAGAATGCTGGCAGCAACCCGTATCAACCATTAGCACCAGTCAATGATACTTACGATACATTTTTAAATGTTCAGTTGACTGAGTTTCGTGTTTAATGAATAAAAGAGAGTAATAATAATGTTTAATGAATAAAAGATTAATAATAATATAATTTGATACCTAGGATGCTGGCAGCAACCCGTATCAACCATTAGCACCAGTCAATGATACTTACGATACATTTTTAAATGTTCAGTTGACTTGAGTTTCATGTTTAATGAATAAAAGAGAGTAATAATAATGTTTAATGAATAAAAGATTAATAATAATAATTTGATACCTAGAATGCTGGCAGCAAACCCGTATCAACCATTAGCACCAGTCAATGATACTTACGATACATTTTTAAATATTCAGTTGACTGAGTTTATGTTTAATGAATAGAGTAATAATAATGTTTAATAATAATATTTAATGAATAAAAGATTAATAATAATAATAATTTGATACCTAGTATGCTGGCAGCAACCGTATCAACCATTAGCACCAGTCAATGATACTTACGATACATTTTTAAATGTTCAGTTGACTGAGTTTCGTGTTTAATGAATAAAAGAGAGTAATAATATTTAATGAATAAAAGATTATTAATAATAATAATTTGATACCTAGGACACTGGCAGAAACCCGTATCAACCATTAGCACCAGTCAATGATACTTACCATACATTTTTAAATGTTCAGTTGACTGAGTTTCATGTTTAATGAATAAAAGAGATTAATAATAATAATAATGTTTAACAATAATGGTTAATAATAATGGTTAATGAATAAAGGAATAATAATAAATAATAAAATCAGTTAAAAAATAAAATAAACAGTAACCCCTTCTATTGGGCGGCCTGCCACCCCCTTCCACAACCATCCACGCCCTCCGGATTCGCCCCCCTCAGCCCTCCGGCCGGGAACCATGGGCACTGTAGTGGCGGCCTGACGTGCGGGCCGGCCAAGCAAGGGGGCGTCGCCGAGCCAGCCGGGCGGGCGGGACGAAGACGAAGCAGGGCAGGCCGGCGAGCACGCCGAGCAGCGACGGCGGAGGCCTGGCGGAGCGCGGCCATGTGGCGAAGGAAGGCCGTCTTCAGGGTCGGCGGGGCTGGGAGGCCGCGGGTTGTCTTCGACTTCCCCGAGGAAGAGGAGGAGGAGGAGGCGGGGGCGGGGCCGCCTTGCGGGGGTGCGGGGGGAAAAAAACGGGGCGGGGGGGGGCGGGGGGGGGGGTGTATTACGTGGGGAGGTGTGTACACGTGTATCGGTGGTAAGGAGGGAAAGAGGGGGGTTTGGGGGGGAGGGAGGGTGGGGGGGGTGCATCTGGGCTGGGGTGCGGGGTGTGTGTGTGTGTCTGTATACAGAATAATTAGGTTGCCTTATTTATACACACAGAGGTACACAGTATTTATTTACCTCTGTCTTTTTAATTATATCTGCCTAAATATCTATCTGTATTTCTATCTCTCTATCTATCATCTATTTCTTCTACCTACTTACCTATCTACCTTTTTATCTATCCTCTGCCTATACCTATCTCTCTATCATCTCTCTCTCTCTATCATCTCTCTAT